ATGTCTCTTCTGACTGCAGGGTGGTCCTTTGAGTGTCTAGAGGACTGGGCCTCCTTTCTGCACCTGGCCATCCCCAGCATGCTCATGCTCTGCATCGAATGGTGGGCCTATGAGATCGGGAGCTTCCTGAGCGGTCAGTGTGAGGACAGGTGGTGAAGACTGATGGGAATAGGGGGCCTTTTCTACAGGTAAACCCTGGTGGCACATTAATTAAAGTACCCAGCGCTAACTGAAAGGCAGAGGTTCGAATCCAGCAGCTACTACTACATGGGAGAAAAATATGACAGTCTGTTTCCATGTAGAATTACAACCTTGGAAACTCTTTGGGGTATCTCCACTCTGTCCTTACAAGGACATGATGAGATGGAATCAACTCAACAGTGGTGGGTTTTTGGGTCTAAGAGCAAAGATCCCTGGGTGGTACACATGGCTAACATGCTTAGCTACTAACTGAAAGGTTGGTAATTTAAGCCCACCCAGCAATGCCACGGAAGAAATGCCTGGTGATCTGTTTCTGAAGGATTATAGTCACTGAAATCCCTGTTTTACTCTGACATGCATGACCTCACCATGAGTCCGGACTTTTGGTGGATTTCTGGTGGGTCTAAGAGCAAGAATTTGATTGTCTTTACCAGGCATCCTGGGCATGGTAGAGCTGGGAGCCCAATCTGTTGTGTATGAACTGGCTGCCATCGTGTACATGGTGAGTATCTGCGAGCTGATCGTGGGTGACAAGCCTTTCTTACTGATCTAAACGAGTTCTGAGAGTCAGCATCGTTGTTCATAACATTAAGTAATGAGGTACGAAATGCTCTACAAGGTAGATTTCCTCCTGAAGCCTGGGAAGACCTTTTTAGTTAATGGTTGAAGAGAAGTTTGGGCAAAACCCCAACCAAATGACCTGTTCTTGGCTGCTTATCTCCTAACATAGTTCAGATTTGAAAGATTTGCTTTTACTAGCACATTTCTGCACCTCCCCCCAACCGCAAATGTGAATCATTTCCAGTGGTCACACACGAATATTGCAAGGGACCAGGTAGGTAACATAAAGCAGCGAGGGGACTTGGTGTATGACAAGGAACCCCAAGCTATTTGTGCCTTGGATTTCCTGGGTGGTGCAACAGGTTAATGGGCTTGGTCACTGACTGAAAGGCTGGTGCTTCCAGTCCAGCCAGAGGAGCCTCAGAAGAGAGTCCTGGCAATCTCTCTCTCTTTTTTTTTTCCTATAGATATGGCTCAGTTTATTGATTCTCATTTTCTGATACAAAATATTTTGTACAATATGTGGACTCAGGTTTGTCAGGTTGCCATGCCTATTTTTAAAAATTGGAATTAATTTGGTTTGTTGTATCTTTACTACATCTTTTTTTTTTTTTTTAATGTTTTATTGTGACGTATGTGATAGTTTACATGGGAGAACATTAGCTTTACATTCATTCTATCGTATATCATTTCATTGCCATGGTT